GCTTCAAGTTGCCTAAAAAATGGGTCCTTCTCAGCCTCGGGAGCGCTCCAGGACCAAGACCAACCGGATCCATCCTCCACCCCGCGAAGCCGACATCCATCCTCTCAGCCATCAGCCGCATCGCGCCCAAGACGCCGACCAGGCCGAGGAGAAGTCGGCCGCCACGACGCCTCCGCCTTCGCTGTGCCATCAGGGCCCATCAACGAGGTGCTTCTCAACCGCCCCACAGGAGTTGTGAGAACTCCCGAAGGCTCGGCAGCACTCTGCGCTCGGGCCGGTGGCTACAAAAAATTGCACAGTTGGCCTGCACGAACCGAAAACGTTCTTGCCGACCTACGACACTCACGAATGTACTGTGGATAAACTGGATCTGGTGCTGAAGAATCTGGAAAAATTCCTGTCACGCAAATCCAGGATCGCTCAAGTTGCAGCAAGCAGGCTCGAAAACTGCAACTCTCTGCACATGAAAATGTGTTTCCTGTTTGCCCATCTCTCACTTGAGGCCGAGGGTAGGTGACGAAAGCTAGCAGGGGTGCATCCGGACTGGTGGGACATCAAGCGGAGTGAGGCAAATGCTCATGAGGTAAAACGTTGTGAACATGTAAGACACACAAACAGCAATGACACAGCCAACCTTAGAATTGAAGTCCCCGATAATTAAGGAAGCGTGGCTGGACTTTGCCACACTGTTCGATGCATCCGATGTGTTCACGAACCTGTGAGCTTGTTGAATCTGTTGCACCGTATCCCAAAACCTCCACGGAGGAGTTGAACCAGTGTGGATGCCATAAGAGGTGCCCAAGAGGTGTCCCAGAGGCAAAACAAAGCTGCTTGCATGATTTGTTTGGTTTCTTCTATCGATGTCGATGTCATGAACATGTGAGCTTGTTGAATCTGCTGTTGCATCGTCATGTATATGTAATGAGGGACTGAAGAAAAGCAACGCAGCATCATGAGCATCACGGGAAGTCACAAACCAGGCGTATCAGATACACCTGGTTTATGTATGTTTGTTTGAGCATCTTTGTCGAGTGAAGTGTCAGCCATATGCACTGAGATGCCGAAGGAAGCTCAAAGGCACGTGTATCTGATACGCCTGGTTTCTGACTTCCCGTGATGCTCATCATTGAAGCCTTGAACCCTCGCGTAAATTTCATGTTTCATGCCCCCCCTTCCAAACTCAAACAGTGGCCTACTTCACCTGCCACCTAAACATAGCACTATAGCACGTACCGGAAGCGTCCCAGGGGGGAGTTGAACCCGCGGGGGGGCCCGTGAAGTTTTCACGTGATTCATGATTCTCGAGGCTGCGAGCCCTTGACTTGCTAAAGCAGGAGCAACTCCAGCTAGCTGATGCTAGCTTTCGTCATCAGATCTCTCCGTCCCACTCTCTCCCAAATGGTTCCCTCTGAGGCAGCGGCTGAACCAGCTCAGTGGCTGGCCACGGTCGAAGCAGTTCTGCCGTGGAGGATGGCCTGAGTGGACAGCTGGGCTTCCCTTGAAAGGAGCACCCGTTCCGCCACAAAAAAGTCCTGGAGGGCAGCATATTCTAGTCTGCTGGATGGGTCTGTATATGATGGTCGGTATATGTTCCGCGGATTCATCGCTTTTTAAGGAGCCGTTTCCCTCATCGATTTCACGCATGTTTCCCTTTCACCTATACACATATATTTTGACGGAGACGGAGACTTGGAAATTCCATGAGCACACCAGCCAGACTGACCGCAACCCGTCGCGCCACAGTGGTAGCATGTGGGTCCACCCTTCTCAATGGCAAGTGGCACCGTAAGCCCATGCGAAAGCACGAACTGTGTCTTGGGTGGCAGGGGATTCAAGATGAACGGTCTGTCTTCTGAGGGGACGCCAATGGTATCACACCTCTCCAGACCCTGGCTTCGTGGGTGGCAAAAGGAAAAAGCCACCTGCTTGCAGGATGTTAGTTTAGGTTAGGGTGTCTGGCTCCAGGCTTGCCAGTGGGGCTTCGGATGCAGTACACTCACCCCTCCAAACTTAAGACATCAAAGCCTGGGCTGAGATCTTTGAGCATGAAACCACATCACTTCACAGACTTCACATGCTTCAAACAAACACACCATGGCACAGAGAGATTCACACCACAACTTGGCAAATGACAGCCAGGGCCCCTCAGAATGGCAGCGACTCTTTTTTCGCATTGCCTGGCTTTTGTACCATTCTCCTTCTGTTCCGACCTCCTGGCAGCTTCTGCGATGAGTGGATGAGAGTCACGAAGTTGCTCTGCCAGCTCAGGCGGCAAAGCGTTGAGTCGTCGGAGTTGCACTTTGAACCAATCGTGCTCAGGTTTCTCAGTCTTGGCTTTCGGGAGCCGCTCACGCTTCTTCACGATGTGGAGGACTTTCTCCAACTGTTTTTCCCATCGTGCCCTGTTGATCTTGAAAGGGGCATGGTCCCATTTCTGGAGGAGCTCTTTCACTAAAGGATCCACTTCCTCCAGCATCTTCCTCCTCTCAGGCTTGGCATCATACGATCCCTTGGCTCGAAGATCCGCAAACCACCTCCCCACCCAATTGCTGGAAGACTTGCGCCTCTTGGTTGGAAGCTTGCCATTCATCCCTATGTACTCCTTCAGCTCTCGGCATTTCTGCTGGAAGCGGCCATCAATGTCACGAGTCATCCAGCCTTCGACACGCCTGCGGATAAGATCAAACCTTGCAGTCAAAAGTCTTTCAAGTCGGTGGGCTGGCATTTGCTGTGAGGTGGCGGTCTTACCTTGGTTTTTCAACCAAATCGACAGCCCTACCTCAGCACGATCGCAACCAGCTCCCCGCTGTCGAGGAAGCCTCCTGTTCTCCTCGACAAATGCTTCCAATTCCTTGAAGCGATTCTCCCATCGGTCTCTTTGAAATAAAACTGCATCAAGTCGTCCATGAACATACTCGATGAATTCGCCCACCCCAAGTTCTCCTTCCAGGTCCAAACTGCAATCGGCAATTTGGATTCTATGTCCGGCATCAGCCCCAATCAACCTGTGATCTGCTTGCATCAAGGCTCCCAAAAAGCGTTCCAGCTGATTCTCATACTTCTTGTCACAAGCTTCAACCCCATCACTTCTCCCAAACGTCAACCGTGTTTGCGGCTTTCTTCCCATCATCCGGTGCTGCCGTGCTTCAGTTGCCAGGCTGCCTGTGGATGAGGGGGACTGATTTGCAAAGGCAGCACTGTGACGAGCTTCCTCATCTGGACTGTCCCTCTCTGCGCTAGCTAAGTTGGGCTGTTCACTGACCTCTTGCCTGGTTTTGGTACGACCGTTGCGCCGGAAGCCCTCAAGAGGATCTGCTTCAAGGTGTCGGCTGCGGCTGCCCCCTGGCCGCGCAGCCTCAGACTCAGGGCCCAACACTGTGCCAGCATTCTGGCTGGTGCTAACACCTCTTCGGCTTATTATGTTGCTGCTGCCTGCGCCTGCTTGTGACAAACTATCTGGAAGCTGAGCTTGACCACTTGCAGCACACCTCACTGTAGCAGGTTTGCACCTGCTATTCAGCTGCAGGCTATCCACAGAAGTGACCGAGTTCCAATTTCCAGGCAGTTCTCCTTGCTTCTCCTCACGCCTTGAGGGAACTGCTCTTTGCCTTGGATCACGGACAAACTTCAGAAAAGACTTTTCTGGTACTTTGCGGTTGCCGTCCCGTGCTTGAGACGGCCTAGAACCAGGTGATGCTTCTTGCTCCGCCAATTGGCGACTCAAGCTGTCAAGATCAGCCGTGCTCTTGAACTTATTCGCCATCTGCGCTCCATTCTCATGGGGAGAGGAAAGTGAAGATAGTGAAGGTGCGTAGCCGCAAAGGCTCTTCATACCGGAACACTGTGCAGGCACATTTGACGGAGAGACATGATCCTGGTCACTAGCAGCGTCATGTCCAGCTCTCGGCCACTC